AATAATTATAAATTTTATATTCCCGGCACATTCAGTCTTAAATCTCCGTATAATTACATCTTTGAATTATTAAATTTTCAGAATGCGTTAAGAGCCTAAATTAGATACTTGAGCCAAGTTTGGAAAATTATGGGTTCAAATATTGCAAATTATAACTATCTGTTAGCAAATTTCATTATTAGAGCATGAAATATTATAAACGTTACTCTTTAAATATCACTGTTAGATATTTTTAATAGTTTATAAATAAAGCATTGGTTTAATTCCACCTATTTAAATATGCAATATATGGAATATTTAACATTATGGAAACTGCAAATAATATTGCCATAAATATTTATCTGCGAAATACTTTTGATATGCAATGTGCCTTCTTTTTAAAAAATTCCTCGTCCCTTATACATACGGTAGTCGTTTTGCAGAACGTTAGCAGCGCAGAAATCCCGCGCCGAAAACACGATTTCCGTCGCGTACTCAATTTTTCCTCGCCGATCTTATCATCCCCGATATAAGTTAGCGAGATTTAAAAAAACTTTTTTAGAAAAATTTGTTTAAGCTCGTAAAAGTTTTGTATTCGAATGATGATTGTAGAAATATCGAAGCGACATGTGGATACACGAGCAATCCTTCCGTCCATTTATTACATCCTCCGCGTTAGTCGTTTCAGAGACAAGTATTACACACAAGATATACCGCGCAAATAACTGTCGTGTACAATAGTGTGTTCATAAATACGAGAATCGTTATTTACAGTTGACTCCTTTATTTTCTTGAAACGTTTGGAGAAACGACGATTAGTCGAGGAGATTCTGTCACAATCTTAGCAGTATGAAAAGCTATTAATATCTTTGCCCTCATATTTTATCCTGTTTATTAAGAACTATGAATTTTAGAAACAATCAAGTGCGTACGACATAAATGTTAAGTGACTTTTTCTACACGGATTTCTCGAAAATTACATCTTTCGTGACACTGATCCATTATTGTATACAATGAAAAATAACAAATTATCCACGAGAAAGACTTCCACAGGAATGCGATGCATCTCCCTCGCCCGCTCGCCGCTTCATTTGATACAAATGGAAGAATTCCACCCGCGGGAAGACACGACTGACGTAGAATGAAACTTTCACGAGGCTCTATAAAAGCTCGAGGAATTCTCGAGACGTCGGACAGGAATGCTCGTGGATCTGGCAGCGCTGATGGATATGCCTCTTAAGCTCGATAAAATCGGATGCAATGACGTCCGCGCGCGCTTGTTTTTCTTTTCTTCCCCCTCTTTTTTTAACCTCCGCACTTTTTCCACTTTCCGGTAACTTTTAGCAACCTTTCGCGCGCGCGTGCGATCCTCGCAAGCGCCTCGTCTGAAGTTCCGACCCTCGGAGAAAATTGGCGAAGCGTCTTGGCGCTCGTAAAGCCCGGGCTATCCGGGGAAAATGAGAACTCGCGTGATCGCGCTTTGATCACGCAAGAAACCGCGGTGCTGATCGAACGCGGGCGCGAAAGCATCCATCAGCGACTCGTGAGGCATAGCGAAATATCGATTGGATGCCGTACGCGAGGTTGCGCCCGCGATGATGGCCGCCGTTACGGCAACTTTCCTTTCGACAAACTAAATCTCGAGGAGACGACGATTTTTCTTATCAGTAATATACACAACACTGTTCCATTGTCATAAGATTAATAATCAATGTCTCAATTAAGCGGAGGCTAACATGTTTGAAACAGCGATAATTTATCGTATAATTTTCAAAGTAATCATCAAGTTTTCACATTCACCCTCGACGTTGCCTTTAATTTTTTACTCTTGCTTCCCTTTCGTAAAATAAAGATTGAGAAAGAAATATTTCTTGATGTATAATTTTCTGCTCTGAAAAAGTTAAAGGACTAATGGGCTTCACGTTTACTTAAGCGATTTCCGATACTCGTCGGATATTGCAATTTGCGACTTGTAACACGTAAAATACATAAAGTCGGTTAAATTCGGGCGCGACGCGTGCGGAATTTTTGCCGTATAGCATGCGCCTCATATAAACGCTATAAAATTTAAGCCGCGCTCGCAATTTTCGCGTATGAACGACGGCAGCACGAAGGCGTCCGCATTTTACATTGCCGGCGGTCACTTAAATTACTTCGTAATTCCGCGCTGTGCGGATTCTCCGCGTTGAGGAATATAATTACGACTTAATGAATCGCATAGAAATTTCCGTGACACGCGCGAATAATTACCGGGGGGATAAGTCGGTCTATTTGTCCGAAGGATAAGCCGGTCGAGAAGGACTTCGTGGATTTACCGAGTTCCGGCATCGCGACGAGATAACACGGACTTTCCATATGTCGGATCGTAAAAGGGAAACGCGGGGGATATCGCTTTCCGAGAATTACATTTGCGTATCGCGAAAATTGCGCTCGGCGGGGCGGAGCGAGGAGTTACGAGAGGTCACGCAAATCGACCATGAAGATTTAAGTAATTTGGATTTTACACCAGAATGAATTCCTGGCGAGTTTTCCCTCCGAACTGAGGCAAACTCTTATCGTCATTGCTCTAAAGCAAATTGTCTGTTCCTACTGTTATGTTGATTACTACGGTGGAACGTTAATCAAGTCCGCAAATTATGTGCGTGTGTGTGTATGTATATGTGATTATTCTTGATGTGCATGTACAATCTGCAGCCGTAATATCTGCAGAAATAGATTTTGCTATATATAATATGAGAATACTAAGTTTCATCACCATTTTATATGTAACGAAGAAGGCCAGTTTCTTGATTAAATGCAAATATAGAAAATTTTCGCTCGATTTTTCAAGTTTATTTGTATTTGTACGTATGACGTATTGAGTTGCAGGTCTAAATATTGTTAAACTTTTCGTCGATAAGTCGTGACGCCAAATGTGTCTTCACAACATGTGCGTTATGTTCATTCACAAGGACGTTAGTCGGGAATTTTAAGGAATTGCAGTACCAAAATTCTCGCGAGATGAAAATCGCGATATTATTTTCAGTCCGAAAATGAACGCTCAATGTTATGTCGGATGTATTACTGACGGGCTGTCTGTATTTGCGATTTTTATCGCCGCTTTAGCACGTCCGCGGAAATATTTAGTTGTCGCGCGCGTTGTTTTATCGCCCGACACTTGCTCCCGTATGCCACGATAAGCTCTCGCGATATTACACGTCATATCGGATTTCCATGTATGGATGACCAACTGGTGAAAGAAGGAAGGATTACTTCACAGTTTGTTTTCCAAAATGCAAAAATTATTTCACTAAAAATATACTCTTTGTTTCGTTAAATATCATGTTTCAAAAAGCCACGAGAGAAAGTTAGAGTTAAAATTATTTACTCGTTTATCTGTAAAACACAATTTTTCATTGAAATGCGCACATGTTGTAAAGACATATTCGATGTTACGTGATTTATTGATGAAAAATGAACAAGATATATTATTAGCAGATAATAAATCCATTTAACTAATGAGATTTGTGGTCGCCTCAGCATCAATATTAAATTGGATATACGTTCAACGGGTTTCAACGAGGCGCGACTTAGCTCATTAATTTGCACACTCGTTGTAAGTGCTTCGTCGCCAAGCAGATGTAGAAGTTAAACGCACGATAAGAACTTCTAGTGGAGTTAGTGAGCAGAAATTCTCCGATTCTGTTACTGCGTGTAGCACTCCAATTAAAAATAGTAAACGTATTTATCAAATACTATGCTAAACATTTGCTAATTTTACATGGTTTGTAATTATATATATAATTGCTCAAGTTATTAAACGTTGTAAGTATTGAGTATTTTGGCTTGCAGACAATTTCAAATATCAGAAAGATTTTTACAGAATCAAAAAATTTGAAACTTTAAAATATTATTTTTTTGACGATAATATACATCGTATATATATGAATATATTATAAATATAAATATAGAAAATATCAAATTTATTATTACTACAATGACTGTGAATAAGTTTTATCGCCTTATAGTCTTTATGATCTAACTTCTCTAAGCATAATCACAACACTAACTGAAATTTCGTCAAAGTTCGACTAAGTAATTATTCCAATTACTCAAGTTTCGTGCCATTTTCCTTCACGACAATTTGAATTTCCACGGTAGTTTCCGTGGGAGCATCTTAACCTAAATCGTAAATTGGCCATTTTGAAATATCCGTAGACTTTATAAGCTATTGATTTTCTAGTAACTTTAACACGCGCTTTAATACTTAATCACTGTTTTAGAAAGCGTGGAATATTAGCAAAGTTTGGAAACATTTTATATAAGTATCTTGGAAGTATAATCTACATTTGTGGAAATTTTTGAAAAATAGAAGAAAAGAAAACTTTCTTCTGTAGATTTATTCTTTCACAACTAAATTACAAAACAATTAATTGAAATGGTAGAAAAAATTGAATAACCGTAAGAATAAAATTCTTTACAAAAAATGAAATAAAAATTGTAGAATTTCTTCACGTGATAAATTTTATTCTGTAATTTTAACCTTCAAATTTATTTCGTTTTATTTTAAAAAAGCTTCTTTACAATCTAATTTGGTTTTTTACAAAAAATTATTTCCTTTTAGATTGTATTGCTATTTATGTCGTACTAATTTCTTTTACGCTAATATAAAATTAAAAAAAATCCTGGAAAAAATGTCTCCATAACAATACACTATAAATATTAATCCATTTTAATTCACATTTTAATGAAAAAAGTCTGCCCATTATCGTAACGATAATCCCCATAATTATTTCAAATAACTATTTTATTAAATAATTAAAACAAACTATGTAAACTTAGCAAATAGCACAGCGTTGGGTAAATAGGTTTATTTTTAACCGATGCGATGTGTGCGGTAACAGAAAATCGTAAAATATTTTATCTTCTCAACAATTATTATTATAGCAAAAAACAGTCGCATAGTTCTGTGGAGATTTGATCACAGAATGTTTTCTCCATTTCTGACGTAGAATTTGAAGTGAATTTTGAAACGGACTTACCACATCGATGAGCTGCGAGAGCTTAAGCTTGATGCAGACGCGCAGCACGTCCGAGGTGTTCACCACAGGACGTACAAGCTTGTTGTAGTTTGACAGCAGGTCGTCGTAGAGGCGCTTCGCGTCCGGATTCCCAGCGACGGCTCCGTGAACGACCAACGCCGAGAGAAACCATACGCGCAGCGTTTCCCCGATTATGGGGGGCATCATGGTCCCCCGATTCCTCCACTATGAACGACGCGCTCGGCCCCTTTGTGCCCTCTCTCGACCACGCGTACCACGTATCTGACAAATAAATAAAAAGATAAAAATCAGCTGCTGTTTTCTTGCATTTTGCGCAAATGAGCACCGCTTGGGAAGCATCCTTTCCTTATTATTTACCGCGACTGAGTGATTAAAAAGCATAGGACAATTCAATTAAGGCACAATTTCCCATTATTAATTTTTACTCTCGAAAGTTAATTAGCATTCTTAATAAAATCCTTAAATTCGTATCTTTAATCAGTTTGCTTATCAACTTTGGACTAAATTTTAATTAAAACGAGACAGATAGCAAATAGCACAAATTTATTCTACACCTAATTTTAGGTGAGTCTAATTTAGGAAAATTTTTACTTTCACTTAATTAAGAAGTTATGAGAAAAAATGACTTTTTGTTAAATATTTAATGAAAAAGGATCCGCAAAATTGTGTAGAGTCGAGACAAAATGCATAAATCCTGCTATGCCACACTAACACACAGCCGGAACTCTAAGTTGAGCTGCTGTATTACACCCCACCAGACTACACTTCGTTACGGTACGTGCAATTCCCGGCATATAGCACACCATGAGCTGAGAGCGATACAACTTGGTCCGCAGGCGGATTTATGGGTACAAGTAACGAGTTCAACCCTCTCTTCCCCGCCCCTCTCTTCAATCCCGAGCGCTAGGCAAAAAATTTCGCTGCGTTAAATATAAAAATAATATCGCTTTAATATGAAAACCGTACGTTTTCTGATGTTTTCAAACATTGTACAGTTTTCAAATTGATTTTTAGTACGTTTTAGTAATTTTAATCTTTTGTAAAAATTAAAAAAAGTATTTATTTTAAATTGCAATCGCTACATTTCGCGATGAATATTGCAACAAAGCTCACTGATAAAGGAAATGCAATGGTAATCACAAATGTAACTACGACGATACGAGCAATAAACCGGAAACAATGACAGCAAAACGATCCCATGATCGCGCACCGTGATGCGTGGCGATGTTAGTGTTCACGCCGATTAACGGCAAGCCGACACTTGGCATAGTGCGAGCGTTGATTTTCGTCATGCATTAGGGCGCTAATTCACAACCGCAAATCGCACGCCGTCACGGATCGTGTTGATCGCGCGCTTCGCAAATCGCGAAGTGGTTCACGCGGGCATTTTGGTAGGAATTTAGTGGAGTCAAACGAATAGAATGACCGACCGCGTTGTTACGCGATTTACATCCTGGCGATTTCACCGTGAATGCCATGATTAAGTGAGTTAGCCGAATAATTTTAGATCCGGATGAAATAGCTTTATTCCTTCTTTTTTATTGTTGCATAAACGGAAGTTATGTGACAGAATTGCGATCGTTACTACGAATCCGCTGGCGCTCGGTAATTTTTAGCATTTTACGACCAATCGTACGCCGAACATACGGATATCGCTAAAAAATATAATTGGATTTTCTAATGATTGTGTAATAACGCAATATATATCAAACTGCAAGATATTTATATATGTATTTTAAAAGTTTGCGAAAAAATGTTTCAAGCTTTTGTACGCTTTTAATTCTAACTTTTTAAATTAAAGAAAGTTTTATTCTGAATGTTAGTAACTTTTTGGTAACACATTATGGATGTTGAAGTTGAAAAAAAAGTTTATAAATTTATTTTAATGAATATTCTCTCTCCTTTTGAATATTCAATATCAATAGTAAATAAAGTTCCCTTCAGACGATTTATTTATAATTCACGACAAAAGAAATTTCAAACAGAATTTATATAAAATATAATAAAATAAAAAGTATGTAATAAATCAGAATTTTATATCACTGATATTTATATATGTATTTTCTAATTTTTTGAATATTTTTCTATATTGCGCGATAGGTAAATAAAATTATAAATAGAAGATTATAAATAAAAATATAAAGAAAAGTCATAAATAAAAATAAATAAAAGATATCGTATAAAATAATAAATAAATAATAATAAGAAAGTCGTTTCGAGTTACACACAAAATCTATCTCGGATGCGCAGTATATATCTTTGCACCCGCCGCGGGATGCTGCCGGTCGGATACAAATCCCAAACGATATACGACGTTATTTGATTCGATCGTCGTAGGCGTCCAGCACAGGATTAGCGGATAAAGCGCCGCATCGTTTCGACGATTAGGATTATCCGCGTGGATTTTGCCTCGCCCTTCGGTGAATCCGGGCACTGATAGTAACGCTGTATCGCCGATATTCGCGCAAATGGGAAATTGATACTCGGGTGTTGATGCTCCGGTCAGACAACCTTCGAGAGTGCTGAGATTTCCGCATTGCGGGCGATGTAACTATAGAGTGATGTGCGCAAACTTTCCACGTAATAAATATCGTGGGATATTAATTACAGTACTGTCATTAGATGGATTGTTACTCGCATTTTTTGCGTGACACATTTAATACGATAGATGCAATGTGATAGAGATTTTACATAAACTTACGTATTTTTGTAAGTTTAAGAAAATCTTTGATTTTCAACTCGGTTTTTTACTTTAATTGGCATTTTTGTAAATTTTATAGGCATACATAATTAGCAAGTATAATATGTTATCGCGTGATGTAAGCACACTTGTTAAACGTTTCAACAAAATTTAATCTAAAATTTAATTAAATTAAAATTTAATCAAGACTGCAATTATTCTGCACTTATTACAAGTGACACTCGCGAGAACATCTATGAATATAAAATAATAAAATATTAAATAATATAAAATAATAAAGAACGAGAGATTTCAACTATCCCTATTTTCCCTGTTCTTCGCATCCAAATGATAACTCCAAACTCTAATGTATTCTGAGATAAGAAAGAACATGAGTTTAAATGCACTTTGATCTCACTGCACTACAAAGTTGCTAGGCGAGATAGTAGAACCGCGAGTGAAACAATACTTTAAAAGCTTCCGTACTTTCTGCGAAATTTTTTCTATCTGCAAAAGACAATTGCGACTGACGTTAAAATGTCATCTCTATGTGAGTGGTATAATAAAAACGTGACTCAAATATAATTTATCTAAGAAAATTTTTCACTTTTAAAATAAAAAAAGTATTCGAAAATTTGTATAAATATAATTTGGACATTATATCAGAATTAAATTTGATAGCGCGTGTAGCAGAATTTTGCACGAAAATTACGAGTTTATAACAACTGAATCCGTGAATCCAAATTGTTCATTCAGCGTTTCAAATTGCGCTCCTCGTACGCGGTGGGGTAACAAACACGATCGGACTATTGAATCGTCGTCTTAAGATTCAAACCGCGTTCTGATCGAGCAGTTCCTCCTCTGTCAGGTGGGCGACTTCGGGATCGTAATTCACGTCGACGTCGACGCACGCGGCCGATACGCGGGTATGAGCGGCGGGAATTTATGCGAGTACATACGTTCGGCGACGGAGAAAGATCGATCAACGCCCTGGCCCCACCTCGTCTACCACCGTGCGAATGTCTAATTGCTGTTACACCGTCAAGTGGGTCAACGGTATATTATTTCAGATTAGCGGGCCGAAGAGAGTCGACCTCACAAGCTTGTCATCAGCTTAGAATCTGTCTCATGTCTATTGAATATTGAAATTGATACTACTGGCATTAAGTGTCCAACAACATTTTATGTCTATTTTAATTTCAGAGTCGGAATCTTTTCATAAGATGCGATAAGTTCAACATTGCTTCTGAAACTTTATAGTTTCAGTTTAAATCTCGCCAATTTTCCATTTCTAAATCTTACTTTTTACCCATGAAACATAACAAGTGTATTTAATTAAAAGAATATTGTAATATATATACTCAAACTATACACAAGAAACAAACGGAAAGTTAAAATAGAGAATAATATTTGATATAAATGTAGTGTTAAACATGTACCACAAAGGTAGATTTTAAGCGTGAAGCATCCGCCTTTGCCGTTATCGCTGCTGTATTTGAGAAAATATTTTTCTAACTTATTTTCACGTTTACGCGACGGAGAATCCGTCGGTTGACTTTAAAGCGCACACCGAGCAATTTAGTTTCGCACGATCTAAATAGATTTTAAACAGCTCCACGGCTGAGCAGAGTTTAAAGTCCGTTCTCCTTCGCTGTGCGCCTCTCCTCCCCTATTTTTCTATCGGGAAAGTAAATTACTTTATAGCGCTCTTTGTGATCGCTCGAGCGCCTCCGAGTAAGGACCGCTTCGAGCGCGCGAGTGAATTCAATGGAAATCGAGACAATGAACTCGGTTGGCAGTCGATACTGTCTGTGCGATTAACGATCGGAGCAGGTAACAGTTTTTCTCGTGCTTATTTGCATTTATAGTGCCAAATCTTTGGAAACTTCTCGC